AACATATGAAGTTTCATACAAGGATTCATTTTTTTTAAATTTTGAAAAGTAGTCTCTAATTCAGCCCGTGCTGACTGAAACAGTGTGCAAAAAGATGATGTTCCAAAATTAATGAATTGCAAAATACTGTTACCAATAAAACAACCCAAATGGATATCTGTAACTAATGAAGAATAAATGCATGATGTTTTCAGCAGTGAATTTTTTTGCTTCTAGAGTACTTCTCCCCTTGAAATTTTTCCACTTCCTTAAGAAGAATGATACCGTTTTCTCATTACGCCAGTATCCCCTGATTTACACAGCCTACAGAGAGAACTTTACAAAGAATAAACACAGGAATTAAGAAGGTAGCACCATTAGAAATAATCACGCTATCCAAATCAGCAGAAAAACTTCATTTATCCTTATCCAACATACTTCGACATTCAGCAGCCTAATAGTACAGGGTAAAGGGAGCTCTCATAGCTGTATATTGATAACATTCATAACGGTCATGCACATTACAATCAGAAGTTTTCTAGGGTGCCGTTTGCAAAGTAAGCCTTCATGCAGATAGGCATTCAGCTCATTAACTCCATTTTCATATTTCCTATTAGTCCCTGAGAAGTTAATATTTCTACCTACAATATGGCTATTAAAGGCATTATAACAATCATACACTTAGCTGTTTGTGATGGAAATGCAATGTGGCTTTAGGGAGAAGCACAGAAATTACAGCAAATTAGCGGTGATGAATACAGATCTTATTTCTAAAAATGCTTTCTTTTCATAAGCAAGGTTGCTGAACAGCAACATAAATTATTTTAGTCACGGATACAAAACTAGCCAGCACCACTTACCCTTAATAAGTCGCTACTATGAATCCAAGACATTGGGGGCTCTGAGACCTCTCTAATTGAGCATTTCCTTTACATAAAATCATCTGGATTTTGACCTAATGTAGGGTCATCATGATCCTTCTTTTAATTACTCAACAGCAGTGCTGGGAGAACTTAAAAGAACCAAGGATTTTCTTTGCTTAACAAGTCTTTTGCCTCTTCAATTAAAGTGATCTCTTTAAATTGTTCAGAATTCAAATGGGGTTTTTTGGTGGACAATTTGCATTATTGCCAGCTGCTCAAAAACCATAAGCTAGCGCTCCCAAAACAAGGGGACCAATTTAAAATTAAGACTTTGGGGTGGGGGGGTGGAGGGAAGGGAATAAAGACAAGTTCTTTTGCTTTGCCTTCTGGCTTCTGAGCAGTTACAGATTGCATTTTAAAGCTCTTCCCCACAATCTTCAGGGCTAAATAATGACTTTTAGGAAAAAAAATGAAAACCGACTTTTAAGTAAGCACGTATCTCAGAGTATTATATTTAAACACAATGATCTTGAGATTTACAGAAAAGTAACAAATCATTTAACAAATTGATTTAGAGATTATAGTTTACATCTAAGTACTGCAAAAAGTTTTTACAATCTACTCTACTTGGTTTTGAGTATCGTGGGAAATTTTGGATTTGCATACATAGTTTATTAAAGTGACTCTTACTGAGCTATTACAAAAAATTCACAGGCTTCATGTAACCTGTCTCCATAAACATTTTAATTTCTAGTGAAGTTTGCCAATCCCAGTATAAACTTCAAATCATAGCTATTTAATAAAAAATGAGCTCTACAGATTTCTTCACATAGGGTCAGACAGAAAGCCTTTCTCCCTCAGGACTTATTTCTACCTATCACTAAAAGAATAATTGAAATAAAGATTTCTTTCTTACTGTATTTTAAAAATTTTTTATTGGCCAGTTAAAGGCCACTATATCTACAAATAATAATTAGCTTTCACAGGGAGTCATTGATGCCTTTCACCTTTAGCCTGAAAAACTAATGGTAAACAGATATAATTAGCATCATTTGTTAAATGATGATTATCAAGTGGGTACCTAACTTACTATTCAAGGAAATTGGAAATAGATAAGATTATTTGTAGGAATTGCCGAGCTGCAAGAAGCTGAACAAGTTAGTACAATGTAATATTTATTTTAGCAAAGAGTAGGCTATGTCCTTGAAGTCCTACTATAGCTTCAGGCTTGCTCAAACTGTTGCAACTTCATTCTTTGCCAATTGGACAAAAAAAGGTAATATACGTCTTCTCACTAGCACACAGAATAAATAGATTTAGTATTTTAGAAACAACATCAAAGGAAAATCCTGATGACTGCTGCAGGCATTAAACAGTTGATTAAAGTTCCTGCCATGTTCGATTTCTATCATTGTAATTAATGAATCAAAAGGGACTGTATGAAAATGTCTTATAACATTCTTACTGGGTGAGCGTACTACCACATTAGGAGAGTAACACTTTTGAGCAAAACTCATCTATATATATATACATGCAGTTTCTCAAGTTTCCTGGTTGTATTTTAAGTCAGGGACATTATTTTAATAAAATATCAGAAATGCTTTAAGATCCAATTAGTCTGGCCTCCTTACTAAGGGATTTAACTTTTTATTTGCTCAGAGCTCTACTTTGGACCCCTATACTAGAATTCTTAGAGAGAAAGTCATAGTTAAAATACAGAAATGCCTGCTAACCAAGCAGATGACTGCAGATGCACCTGAAAGTAGACAAGATCTTAACCAGCACTAGCACTTATGTGGAAGCTTTACTAACGAGACACTCTTTGTAAATCTGTAAGCCACACTCTATTCACTGCTCTGGTTTCAGCACACATCACGCTCAAATTAGCTTTACCGTAGGTACGTTTGGGTGCTGCTGGCACGGTAGTTGTGGTGTCACAGAACGTAGTATGGAAAGTTTGGGTAGTAAACTAAGGCAAATAGCTCACGCTGAATGTGGTGCTGCTATGAACATATCACAAGCCATATCCAACCTATCCCTCCACACTAATGAACAACCAGTGGCACGCTGCATCCATGACACAAACCTATCTGTACAGTCAACTGAGAATTTTGGCAATAAAATCTAGGCCTTGTATGATTCAATATTCATTTTATTGAAAACTGACACTTGAAGAAATCAACAGTCAGTTGTTACTGGTTGTTGTCAGTTGTACTGGTCACCAGTATTTATCACCAGTTATCGTTTCTGTCCAATTCCAACCTCTCCCCTGCACCTCCAACCTCCACAACCTCAGCTGCCAACAACGTTGGGCTTCTGGCCTCCCTCGCAGGCTGAAACTGGTCCGAGATTATAACTAATAGTTCTGGGTGAGAGGAGGAGTGCTGCAGACCCAGATGTGTACTAAAGAAGAGGCTGAAATTGATTTTAAGAAAATTATAACCAGTTACTTTGGAGAGAAACCGTTGTGGGACCCAGAAGACTGAGGCAGCATAAAACTGGTTTGTTAATTTGTTAACTAAAAATCATATTCTGTCAAGTCAAAGAAACACACTGGTAGGCTTGTATGAAAAGCATAGCTGAGCTATTTTCAAAGTAAACAGCAGGAATCCGCAGACAAAAGCTGAGCAAAGGATGAGTTTTGGGAACAGATACAGAAGGCTTAGATTTAAGAAAACTTAAAACTTTCTAGACCACTCCCACTATCAACAATTTAAAAATATAATACTCACTAGAGAATATTTTACAGAGAATAAATATTTTGAAGACATAGAAAAATAGTTCACAGCATCAAGGTACCTGTAATATATTACCTTGAAATAAAACTTGTATTTAAAAGATTAAAAAGAGAAGATTATTCTTGTAGTGGTATCAACTTTTCATTCATACAAATATTAAGCAGAGTATATCTGTTTTTTCATATATTCACATTATTGCTTGCTACCACAACTGTACAAGGAACATATTCTTAACTTACATTAATGTTCATGTACAGTAATTTTAGATACCTAAAGGAAATTTAAAAATACGATTGAGTTGCAATTTAAAAAAAAAACCTATGTGTGAAGATATGTACAACTAAGATACAAGTAGAAGAAACAAAATACAACTGGCCTGACCCAAACATACATCATATATCCAGTTAAAAAAAGTCTTATACTTGTGCAGAAAATAAGCTTTGTAAACCAAAATGAGCAGAAGCAAGGGTGCAATAAATAATTATCTAACACATTTAAACTTACACTGTTGCCCAGTGTACCCTGCTTTGATTATTTTTAATACACGGCATCTGCATTTGCATCTGGAACTGTACTGTTCAAGATTTCTTCAGTAACTTTTTTCTGCTTATGTGGCTTTAAAACAAACAAACAAAAAACCCTGAAAGGTCCTCTTGGACAGTAAGTTTTAGTAAAACAAGTCCTTCTGCACCCCTGTGTACAGGATCTGGTAAACAGTAGGTATAAAGCTGATACATGGCATTAGCCTGAATTAAAACAGCTACATTATAAACTGCAGTACTAATATATTTTTGTGATCTTGAGTTCTACTAACCAGATGCATGCAATTCTCTCAGTGATTCTTCTAGTCTGAGTAAAATAATTCTATTTTGCTGCTTTTTTTTTTTAACCTTTAAATTAGAACTTTTTCAGAACCAGTGACAGGACTTCTTCATGAAAAGCACAGAGATTTCTCCTAATGCAATGACATTTGGGTTCCAAAAAGCACAGTTTCAAAAAGAACTTTATGTCCTTCTTTTGTTGGAAGAGGCTAGCCAATATCCCAAAAAGAAATAAAAATATTTACAATTGACTAGTCACTGACAAAAGTTTAGGAAGATCTTCGAAGGTACTTCAGCATGTAAATGAATGAGTAAAAGGACTTACACAATGTACAGTGAATCAGTTGTGTCATTTTGGGATAAAAAAATACCTGCTCGCTTGTATACCATTTTCAGCTGTGTATTTATAGTAATACATATATATATGTACACACACGCGTGCACACATATAAAAGACTCTTTGAAAAATCAACACCACACATCACACATATAAAAGACTCTTTGAAAAATCAAGATACATTAGAAGTAGTAAAAGTAACAATAACTTAAGTAGGAGTTATTTGCGTGAGCACTTAGAACATGCTCTTATTAAAAAAAAAAAATACAAACAGCAAAACAAAACAAAAAACCAAACAAAAAAGAATGAAAACACCACAAGATTCTGTAGAACCAATGCTATGTCACCACCAGGAGAGCACCAAGCAAGGCACCATTGGAAAGACAACATACTTGAATAAGTCTCTATAAATAAATCAAATGCTAATCTGGTCGAAAAATCGGTGTCTTTGGTAAAAATTCTATAAGGATGACCTGTAAAAAAAGAAAACAAATATATATTAAATGGAAGATGGCAGCAGTCCTATTATCTATCACAGTGATAACTCACATGCTTTTTTTTTTTTTTTTAAGTACATCAAGTTGTGATGATGATCAAAGATCACGGTGCTTTTCTTAGGTTGGAGACCGTTAGAAAAGTTATGTTTGATATAATTGTTTTGGGGTAGAAAACCAAAACTCTTAAAGAATCAAATTCAATTAGAAAGGTTTGCCTACCAATACCTAACACATCTAAACAAACTGAAATAAGCTACTACATAATTATTCTTTAACATAATTCATTTACTTTATTAGGAAAAAATTACAGAAGAGATAAATGTATTAATTTTTAAAAAAACCAGAAGGCACAATGTATGCAAAGTTAATTTTCAATTACACATGCAATTCCCTTTACTTCAAAATTGTTTCCACTTAATATAGGTTTCTGAATCATGCTTATAGTTCAAAACTTGTACAGAAAGGTGTATCAACCTTTGCAACGTTCCCGTATCTAACAAATCTGCAAGTAGTTAACAAGAAACTTGACTACTGCTTTTGCATGATTATTCTTATGGTCCCGATTCAAATTTAAACTACGTGTTTCTGAGCTATGTACACATGGTAGGGTACACTCCAGCATACAATCCAAATATTTATCCTACTTTAAACAGAAAGCTTAAAGTAAATGTTCACTTGTGCATTTTCTTTCTTCAGAGAGAGTGTCATAATACAGCAGCATGATTGTCTTCATAAACAAATAAATGCATCTGGTAACATAACTAAGGATTTCATTTACTTGTAAGGGGACCTTGCCTTTCTAAGAAGTCAAAAAGGAATTTCTAAATGTTTTTGATTGTAAAGGAGAACACAACTTGGCTGCTTAGAGAGTAAACACTTCTATCTCTGATAGCATACTGACCATCAGAAAAGAAGGAAGTCTGATTTTATTTCTAAGGCAAACACTTTTGAAATAATGAATATTAAAATCAGGTGTGTAAGTTTATTTTCAGAGATATTCAGAAGTGACTTATTTTCAGAAGTGATGCAAACTGCTCAAAATCCATTGACCAGTCAACCACTGGATGCTTCAGAGACACCAGGGCTTCTGATATTCAGGCAAGGTTTCAAAAAGGGAGCAAGAAGTAAAGCTGGAACACTGTGTTTATGCCAAAGGTGTAAGACTACCTTGTCTTTATTTAATTTGTTTAATTATTTATTTAAATTAGCATCTACAACAGTGGATTTAGAACCTCAAGTTGGCAAAGCACCACGTTTTGGGTACAAGAGTCTAATTTAAATCACCCATTTTGAAAAAAATTCAGGATAAGGTTTCCACTTAATATAGGTTTCTGAATCATGCTTATAGTTCAAAACTTGTACAGAAAGGTGTATCAACCTTTGCAACGTTCCCGTATCTAACAAATCTGCAAGTAGTTAACAAGAAACTTGACTACTGCTTTTGCATGATTATTCTTATGGTCCCGATTCAAATTTAAACTACGTGTTTCTGAGCTATGTACACATGGTAGGGTACACTCCAGCATACAATCCAAATATTTATCCTACTTTAAACAGAAAGCTTAAAGTAAATGTTCACTTGTGCATTTTCTTTCTTCAGAGAGAGTGTCATAATACAGCAGCATGATTGTCTTCATAAACAAATAAATGCATCTGGTAACATAACTAAGGATTTCATTTACTTGTAAGGGGACCTTGCCTTTCTAAGAAGTCAAAAAGGAATTTCTAAATGTTTTTGATTGTAAAGGAGAACACAACTTGGCTGCTTAGAGAGTAAACACTTCTATCTCTGATAGCATACTGACCATCAGAAAAGAAGGAAGTCTGATTTTATTTCTAAGGCAAACACTTTTGAAATAATGAATATTAAAATCAGGTGTGTAAGTTTATTTTCAGAGATATTCAGAAGTGACTTATTTTCAGAAGTGATGCAAACTGCTCAAAATCCATTGACCAGTCAACCACTGGATGCTTCAGAGACACCAGGGCTTCTGATATTCAGGCAAGGTTTCAAAAAGGGAGCAAGAAGTAAAGCTGGAACACTGTGTTTATGCCAAAGGTGTAAGACTACCTTGTCTTTATTTAATTTGTTTAATTATTTATTTAAATTAGCATCTACAACAGTGGATTTAGAACCTCAAGTTGGCAAAGCACCACGTTTTGGGTACAAGAGTCTAATTTAAATCACCCATTTTGAAAAAAATTCAGGATAAGTGTTCATTATTTAAAATTAAATCATGAATACAACATTCAGGGCAGTTTTTAATAGACTATCAAATCAGTTCACTGAAAATGAGAAAGCGGTACAGAGAAATTTTGTAAAAATTTTCTCATTAAATATATCCAGAGACAATATATTAGATGTTTCACAAATTGAAAATAAAATCTTCGATCTTTATCCTGTAAAACTGCATGCCCATGCTTACATATTAATGTTTTCCTGTAGAAAAAAAAATTTTCAGTGAAATAAAAAACCCTTCATTTTGGTAAAGCTCAAATCTACTTTCTTCGAAATTTGCTTTATTCCATTTTCAGTCACATTTCATACATCTAAACCAAAAAATTTTGTAGAATAGATGTCACAAAAAGTCTACTTATTCAGTGAACTGAATAGAGCCGTTCTGTAAAAAAATGCATTTTAAAGATCTTATGTTTCAGGCTGGAAATAAGATCTAATGCAGGAACAGGAAAAAGGGGAAGACTAAAAGAAAAAGATTCTTTTAGTATAATTTCCAACTATTTAATCACTTAAAATTTTTATATGCATGATAGCTTTGTTGTTTCAAAGAACAGACAAAGTACCATGTAATGAAAGATCACAAATAAGTTAGAACTAATACAGTAGATATTCCTCAAAGGCTAATCTTTACTTTTAAAGTTAACCCTTCCTACCGCCTACTTCCTAGAGCATTAAAAGAAATTATGCAAATTCTAATGTTTCTTACATTTTAGCAGCTTTATTTCATCCTATTCTATGTACCTCCAAGATATTTTGAAAATGGGAATAAAAACAGCACCAAAAAAGAGCAAGAAGGTTGCAAGCTAAACAAACTGAAATCCCACACTGGACACTTATTTTAAACCGCATATAACTTCTCACTGTGTATTTCCAAGAAGGTCTTATGGAGTGTCAGCCAAAGACTGAAGTAAGTTAAAACTCCAGAGACTGACTTAAAAATATTTTAGTGACACCAATTGGAGATAAAGATACTTTCAAGACAGTTGAGGTAAGGGGCAGTTAAAATCTAAAAAGGCTAAAGGTTTCTTAAGCTCCAACAGCTTAGTTGAAAGGTCTTCTTCCATACTTTTAGACTTGATTAGCATTATATAAAACAGCCATATCTGACTTGCTGCGTAACCAAAGTTGTGGTTATTCTTTATACAGCATCTAAAATTTCACACTCCATCAGCACATGTTCAAGCTATTTTATCTTGGCAATTAATTTATTATTTTTCAGAACACAGTGAAGCCTTGTTTTCAAGTCATTCATAACTTTATAAATCAGTCCTGCACATGAAACCATGCATCTGTGAACCGTAGAAAATCCTTGCACTCAGGCGATTAAGCTCCTGACACCTTTACTGATTAATAATCATGAAAAGAATAAGATCAGAAGCAAAATAAATGATCATTTAATAGAGAAACTCACAAAACAGCCCTTTAACTTACATATTCCATCATGTTATTCGTTTCACATTTCCTTTTGCTTAGTCTCCAATGCAAGCACAGCTAGACAAGGAGGAAAGAAAAAGAAGAAAAATGAGCTGTATTTTATTGCAGCACACAGACTAGCCCATTTGTCCACCTTTCATATTTTTCGTTCAACAAAAGCATCTGTTTCCATACTGTGCAATTCAAACTCCAACAGTACGAAGCTGCTCCCTGCGGCACTCACCTTGTGGTATAACCTATTGTTTTCCCATTCTAATAACTTCTCAATCGATCTTCGTGTCTGGAAGACAAATGAGAAAGAATTTTACTCTTGACTGGTTTTAGAAAAACTTTGTTTTGCAGCTGCTTTTGTGTGAAAAGGAGAGAGGTACAGGACAGTGACTGAGTACAGGGTGGTCTGTAGTACTATCAAAACTTCTCCGGTATTAAATAGTAACTAGAACAGAAACAACTTTTTATGACACCCAAATAACTATCTTCAACCATTTTGGAACAAAAACTGTTCATATATATGCTTTCTGGTTCTTATAGCAGTTATAACTTTAAAACCACAGAAATTTTGAAGTGATCTAAGTATAAAAGCAGGAACACTGCTCCCCCAGTATCAGTGGTCTAAATGCACTGCTTTTCAGAAGGTCGGCATCTAAACTGACAAACGTTGCGAACTATTTTGCAATGCTGTAGGTCAAGTACAAATATGCAATACTCTAAACAAAAGAGAAATTTGTTACATTTATATCCAGATTTTAGAGACTGAAAACCAAATGCAGAAAGTTACAGTACATTGCACAAATGAGTATTACTAAATCTGTGATCTGTGTAAAGAGCAAACCCAATATTTAGGATTCTAAAGCAAAGTTTTACTGCCTGTGTTGTCCACACTTGACACTTCAGATAGAGAATCCTGAAAGCTGTTCTGCACAGCTTTTTAAGATTACGCATGCTAGTATTAAAGGACATCCTGTGCTGTAAAGTTCCACAGCATTTTGAATATAATTGTTCAGTTATATTTACATTTGAGAAATACATTCTGACATTTATGGTCATTTGACTGCCAGAATATATACTGCTTAGCTCTAAATGGGATTTGCTACTGACTATGAATAAAAAGAGGATAATTCATGGTGCCAGGTGTTAAGATGAGACCAACAGAGCTGCAGGTGCAAAAGGACGGAGCAATGACAAGGATCAAATACAACTTAGTGCAGCTGCAGCTTCCTTACAAGGCAGAGAGGGGTGAGGGGAAGGGATGAGAAAGCATCTTGCTGTTATTACTACAAAATGCAAGTACTGTAAATGAACCTTAACAAATCAAACTAAATGCTGTCATGAGAAACAAGAATGTCTGAGCAAAATAAAAATTAGACAACAAATTATTCATTTCCCAAATATTAACATCTTGGTTTTCAAGCATCGGTTTCTCTCTAGTTTAATACTGAAGTGGCTGTGGGGAAACACATCTAAGCATGTACTGTGGTCACATGATTAAAAATTAGATCATTGCTATCTATGAGTAATCATTACACTGAATTTTTATTAAGTTTTATTTTAAAAAGCACAAGTCAAGGAATTATCAGAAGGTGGGTGTGCCAGTGACTAATTTATCACATCTATTGGGAATTGCGTATTTTTCGGGTTATTGTTATTATTATGTTTTTAAAGACAGTGCCCTTTAACAATAATCAGTAGACCTCACTTGTTTCTTTGTAAAGATAGCCTTTTAGAGTCTGCTCTCCTTTTAAATGAAAATAGGGCAGCAGTTATGGTCACACTTTTGTTAATTTAGTTGCCAGTCAGCTCCAAATCAAAAGAAAATAAGGCTGCAGAGTGTAATTAACATTCAGTTCAGTCGTTTTGTCCCTTGTCTAGCCCCCAAGCTTTGTTAAAATTGCCATCTGAATGCTGAAGGCTGTAGGGAAATCGATTTGATTCTAATCGCACCATGAAAAGAACATGATCTAACTGCTTTCAGCCCTCCGTAAATCTGTACTAGGTCTTTAGCACAATGCAACTTCCAATTTAAAAAGCACTGAATGTCTCGTCAATGACTTTGTGAAGAAAAAAGAACAAGGAGCAGACATAAAAATTCCAATAGTTGTTTAAGCATTAAAGTTCATTTGCATCACAGCAAACCTGAAAAGGGCTGACCTCTCAAACCGCCTCTCAGGTCTATGAAGTTGTAGCCTTGACAAGCTCACATTGACAGAGCTCATTGACTCTGAAAGGCTACTCTATCAATGGTGAAAAATGGCAATAGGTTCTACTCTGAGCAGGCATCTGCCTGCCCACCCGCTGCTAAACCAATGGCAAAACTGATTCAAAACCTGAATCTACCTTGTAATCTTCCTTTCCAGGACCTTTTAATAATAGATTAAGATCACTATACAATTTAATTTCATTGTTTGCCCCAAAGTGTGAAAAACATCCAAGCTTTTCAATTCCAATAAAATTACATATATATTACAATACATACACATAAATAAGAAATTGATAGGTAGTTATGTACTATTAATTGCTTTATTTAAATAAGAAGCCAGTTTAAAGTAATTTGACTAGCGTGAGATTAAAACACATGCAGCCTCAAGACCATGATTTTCTACGTTCCTAGAACCTTAAATACAATCCTTCCTGTAGCGTAATTTGGGATAGTCATAGCTCCCAAATCATGCCATATTATCAATACAGAAATGTTAATGAAAATTAGACTGTAAAATATTTCTGCAAGCCTCACAGCTTGGAATAAAAAGAAATGAATTAAACAGCATCACACAATTCACTATAGTAAGTTTTCTTCCTACTTGACAGGTGAAAAAAAGCACTTGCACGTGCAGCTTAATTAATCACTGCTCTTGACATCTCAATGATTTACAGTGAGGAGCAGGTGAGGATATACAAAACCAGAAAGGAACACTTGATTTGAGTGTAGCATTTCCAGCACACTAGGATGACAAGCTTATATATTCTATCAATGGTGTACAGAAAAACCCATACAGCAAATTATTTGTTAGCTGCAACAAAAGCGCAAATTAAGTGGAAGAGAGACTTGCTTATTAGGAAGATTTAATACTATCCAGCTTTTAAAATTTTTTTCTTAAAAAAACCAATCCAATATTTGAGCAAAGCTAAAACTGCAATTCAAGTACACTTTTTAGCATACCAATGATAAGAAAGCATGCTTTGTAACATACTCCGTGAAAAAAGCAGATAGTCTTTAATGTTATCCACAGAATTTTGTGAAACAGACCTCTTCAATCAACTATCTAGATGCAATGTTTAATGAAACATTCCTGTAAAATAACTGATTCTTTAAATATATTCATGTTTGACAGTGTCTTTTGAAAAATCAGATTACCACAAGAGCCCAACTCAGAATACACTTTCACCAATGCTTACTGCTCCCAATTAAGTAAAATAAAGTTTTGCCCTTAAATATGGAAAAAAAAAAATAGGAAGACTAAGCATGAACTTTTCATGCAGAAACAAGGCAGCACTGAATACAAATAGCGTGTTACCTGTATTACCAACTGCAAGACCTTTCTGTTATGTCTTTGCAGCGCCTAGTGAAGTTAGCTTACAATTCCAGATGCAGTTATGATCTGGACTGGGAGGCTGTGCAGCCACAGGGCCCCTCTTGGAGTGCATGACCTGGAACATGCACACTACACTAAACCGTACTAGTGAATGGGCCAAAGCCCCCTCAACTCCTGCTGTAGATCAGTGAATGACTGGTACGATATTAAACGAAAGGATCTTACACGACTCTCAAAATGGTGCTAATTTGAGTACCTCCCTTTGTCTTTATTTAAGTGGGATAACAACATGGACAGTAACAACATGATCCTCCACTATCAGTTTTACTCACAGTTGTCTGGGAACAACAGAAGAATCTCCTGCTACATGCATTTGATCTTTGACTTCCCATCTGAAAACTCCAAAACATATGTAAATGTAGTGCAACATTAGTCCAATAAATAGTAACGTGGAGATTTTCAAATTCCTTTATATAAAACTTCACCACAATCAAGTATTAATAATTTTGATTATTTCCCTGAAAAAATACACTTTATGCTCAAATTTCAAAATACAAAGAGACCAATTTAAGCAGATTTTTGTTGATTCTCATATGGCCAGAATTTGTGTTATACCCCATGGAAGAAAGGCGAAGGATCCTATCAGAGGTCTGGACTATACCATCTCTGCTCACTCAGACAGAAATGATGGAAGCAGGAATTTCTGTTCATTCTCCAAACAAAGATATACCTGACTACAAAATTTATACCCAAGTAATCACTTATCAGCATAAACAATGAAATATAAAGTTAGAAGATAACTGAGTCACACAACTGTATGCTCACTTTCAACATGCCAGAACATCCCCCAAGTCAATTTTGAGGCCCATATTGGTGCCACGAAAATGCCAAAGCTGTACTCGGAATACGCATAACTGAATTACATATACCTTTATCTGTGCTGAGAAAGTCCCCACCTTGAACGCTGTAACACAAATAAATCCTTTAGAAACTGTAAATTGGTAAGATTCCCATCTTACTGAAGAATTTTCTATTTGTGAAGGGCAAAGATGACGAAGGTGAAACCTGAGTTGATTTCAGATCCTGACATCCTGGAATACCTGCTTCAGCACGTACAGTAATTTGAAAAGGTGTCTGTTCAACCACATAGGTGTATCTTGCATCATCTTTCCTATTAGTAGCTAGGATATTTCTTACTAGAGACTATTGTAAGGGTGCTCATCCCGGAAGCCACTGTAGCATCCATGCAAGAAAGTGAGTGAAACCCATACTACACGTTTTGAAGAATATCCAGAAATAAATATAGTATTCTGGTGCTTTTTGTACAATCTTGAAATAACTGCCTTGTCCAACAGGATTATTATTGCTGCATCTTGTCTTACCTTACAGATGATTCTGGGCAGAAAGTGAGCCCAGACCAAAGCACAGATCAAAGCTCTTGATCAAGCAAAGAGAAATAAAATCAGCAGAATTCTGGAGCAGAAGAACTGACATCAAGTCGACCTCAGGAAACTTCCCATTCTAAAAAATAGCCCTGAGGATATTGTCCCATATCCTCACATGATCCATAAACTGACCTAATTTGTATGGATCTCAACCCTGGGTTGGTACATCAGAGAGATTAATTTAAGCTTAATGAAGCAAATCAGATCAACTACTTTCTGGAAAGGTCTCTTCCACCACACTGCCTACTGATATAAAGAGGAGAGCAGCATTATTTGACATTACTGCATGTAACAGTTTTTAATAT